AGTGCCCTGCGCATAGTGACGCGAGGTGTCGCGTGTTGCAGCTTCGTGCGGGGGGCGGGCGGCGGGGCGCTGCGGGCGGTGTCGCTGCGCGCGCACAACACGAGCCCGCTGCCGCTGCACGTGGCCGGCGTGGAGCTGTCGGCCGACGCCGCGCCCTACTTCCAGGTGACGGAGGCGGGGCCGCGCGTGGTGGGCGCGGGGCGGAGCGCGGCGCTGGCGCGGCTGCAGCCGCTGCCGGCGGCGCTGCGGGACAACGTGACGCTGGCCGGCGCCGTCACGCTGCGCACCAACCTCTCGCACTACCGTGTCCCGCTGCTCGTCTACAGCGGCCGCTTCCTCCTGGTGCGTCCCGCGACCTCCTGCTGACTGATGTTTGTGGGACATGTTGACAATGATGTGTCCGCGTGTCCAGGAGTGGGAGTGGCCGTGGGGCGGGGAGGGCGGGGAGGGCGGTGAGGGCGGCGCTGTGTCGCTGGGCGCGCTGGGCACGTCTGCGTCGCGGCGCGTGGGCGTGCGGCTGCGCAACCCCGGGCCGGCGCCGCTGTGCGCTCTGGAGCTGGCCGCCGAGCTGTCCGCCGGCTCCGCGCAGTTCACTCTGGCCGGCTGCCCCGCGGCTCCGCCTGACCACCCTTGCGTTAGTATTTATGAACGATATTACAATTATCCAATATATTTTTATGTTTCATTAAGTGGGACTTGTATTTTCTTGAAAAAGTACTAAAGTAAGTTTTTGTTTTTAAGTTTAACTTAGTAAATGTTTTAATTTTTTAAATGGCATTCTACTAGTCAAAAGACAAGAAAAAAATATATGAATCGTGTGTCTGTGTGTGTGCGGCAGCGCTGTGTGGAGGGCGGTGCGTGGGCGCAGGCGTGGCTGGTCGTGTTGGCGCCCGCGCGCGGCGGCGAGCTGCGCGGGCACGTGCGCGTGCGCAGCCAGCACGCCAGCACCGACGCCACGCTGTCGCTGCGCGCGCTGCCGGGCCGCCTGCACGCGCCGCCGCTGCGCCTGCCCGACGCCGCGCCGGTACCCCACCCTGCCCCGTCGATTGATCGGTAAAGCGCGACACCGCGATGCGGCTGAGCTAAGAGTCGTCTTTGTGTGTGCGGCAGTTCGCGTGGTCGGCGGCCGAGCTGGTGCTGGAGAGCACCATGGAGCTGGAGATGTTCGTGACGAACGTGACGCAGCCGGCGCCCGACCCCGCGCTCTCCTACATGTGAGTAGCACCCTCGCCTCGCCTCGCCTCGCCTCGCCTCGCCTCGCCTCTCCTCGCCCGGTGGGGGAGGTGGGGGAGGTGGCGGTGGTGGCGGTGGTATAGCGTGCGACGTGTTGGTTGCAGCGCGCCGGCGGGAGGGCGCGCGGCGGTGCGCTTGGGCCGGCAGGCGGTGGGCGCAGTGCGGTACGCGCCCGAGCTCAGCTGCCACCCCGACTGCTACACCGGCCTCGACTTCGACTCTCCCGGTCTGTGCGCTCCCCTCTCTCCTCTCTCCTCTCTCCGCGACATCGATTACTTGAATTTAATCGAAAAACTAACATTTCACGATAAAAAAGCAACATAGCTACGTAAGCAATAAAAATAAAATACGCCACAGAGGGGCGGGCGTGGCTGAGCCGGCTGGCGGCGTGCGGCGCGGCGGGCGAGGCGGCGCTGGCGCAGGACGCGGCGCTGGCGGCGCGTCGGCTGGCCGCCTTCCTGCGCCTGCAGCAGCTCCAGCCCGCGCCCACCAACCTGTCGCTGCACCTGCACACCACCGAGGTGCGCGCTGCCGCCGCACTCTGCACTCCGCACCACTCTACTGCCGCGCTGCGCACGTGAGATGCAATGCGAGCCGTTGTTGACGCAGGTGATGCAGATCCCGGTGTCCGGCTCGGTGCGGCTGCAGTGGCCGCGCGTGTCGGCGGCCGCCGGGGGCGCTGTGGGCGCGGGGGGCGCGGGGGGCGTGCTGGCGGCGGTGGGCGCGACGCGGTTGCTGCGCTTGTGGGCGCGCAACCCGTCCGGCTCGCACTCGCTGCTGCTGCAGCCGGTGGTGGGCGACGACCTGCGCCTACCCGACATGTACGTAGCTCGAGGATGGAAAATAACAGAGAGAGGAACAGAAATAAAAAATATTTTCCCTTTCCATGTGTACGCTGCTTCTATCTTCAATATTATTTAGTCCACTATATTCGTGTAACCGCGTAGGTTTACAACACATTTGCACCAAATCAAACATATACCATACAACAAACTATGATATAAACAACAAATTATTATATAAAAGAAAATTAATTTTACAACTACATTTTTCACAATACTATTTATTCCACAATTTTTTCACTGTTTATCTTTTCACCATTTTGCGCGGCGTCGTATTACCTGCCGCTTCATTGAACCACTTCATTGAACGCTTACAAACTCTCCCGCGCTACCGACGAGCTGCCTCTCATCCGGAAACTCCACTTCCTGCTGACTGCACGCGGAATAGCTTCCACTTGAGGCGTGTCTTCTGTGTGCTCGTGGTATATCACCGAGCGAGCCGGGACTATTCCTGCGAACATGTTAAAGCGAGCTCTACCACTGTTCAAATGTTCAAATGTTTATTACGAAATTATTTATTTATTTATTTACATGGTAAACTTACAGCTAGAAAGTAACAATAATAGACACAAGATAGTTAACATATAGCTATTTACAAGTCTACACTTATAGCAATGGCTTAAATAATTTGACAGTCAGCACATGAGATATAAATACTTGACTTTTTTTTTTGTTTTTAAATATAAATATATATTCAACCACCGCTCTATTTATCTGAAAAAAATTTTATCTATCATTTTTAATTATCATTATAACTTTACACAGCAAATACAAAAAAACCACTACGACTTATTAAATAAGAACTTTAAGGACAACTCTTTCTCAGCTCCTTGTAAAAACTCACTATAGATTATAATGAAAAAATATAAAAATGTGACAGCGCGGCGACAATATTATATGTGCCTGTACTTTGTACTTTCAGGTTTGAACAACGAAAGTTTCTTTTAGAATATGTCAAGTTTATTTGAATTTTTTAAGTTTAATATATTTTGTTGGTAGTTTTTATAATTGTCAGTAATATAAGTAGCCTAAATAATGAAAATGCCACCGAAAGAGACGCAGCTAGTATTGAAGTGACGGTCCAGGGCGGGCGGCGAGGAGCGGTGCGGCAACGGCAGCTGCGTGTGGGCGCCGCACGCCTTCCGCCTGTCCGGGTGGCGCGCTCTTCGCGGCGACGTTTCCGAGTGGACGCCCGTGGGCGAGAGCGAGGGCGCGGACTGCCACGTTGCGCCCACGCTGCTGCTGGCGCCGCATGCGCAGATCGAGCTGACGCTCACGTTCGCGCCTCGGCAGGCCGCGCTGCTGGCCGCCTACCTGTACCTGCGGTGAGTGCTCCGCCCCACTACCCCCCCCCGC